CTGCACAATTCCCTGTCCCACAGATCCAGGACAATTCCCTGTCCCACAGATCCTGCACATTCCCTGTCCCACAGCTCCTGCACAATTCCCTGTGCCCCACAGATCCTACACAATTCCCTGTGTCCCACAGATCCTGCACATTCCCTGTCCCACAGATCCTGCACATTCCCTGTGTCCCACAGATCCTACACAATTCCCTGTGTCCCACAGATCCTGCACAATTCCCTGTGTCCCACAGATCCTGCACAATTACCTGTCCCACAAATCCTGCACATTCCCTGTCCCACAGCTCCTGCACAATTCCCTGTGCCCCACAGATCCTGCACAATTCCCTGTGTCCCACAGATCCTGCACAATTCCCTGTGTCCCACAGATCCTGCAGAAATCCCTGTGTCCAACAGATCCTGCACAATTCCCTGTGTCCCACAAATCCAGGACAATTCCCTGTCCCACAGATCCTGCACAATTCCCTGTCCCACAGATCCTGCACAATTCCCTGTCCCACAGATCCTGCACAATTCCCTGTGCCACAGATCCTGCACAATTCCCTGTGCCAGGCCTGTGCCCACCCCTCTGCTGCCTCTGCAGGTCTCTCACCCAGGATGGTCTCAAAAATACCCAAAAAAGCCCCAAAATGGGCATGCAGGGGTGTGGGGAAGGCCCACAGGACATGCAGGGCTCCAGCAGAAATTTCACCTTGTTAAATTCAAACTTCCTAAATTCATAGATATTTTCTTAAATTTAAGGTTCTTAAATTCAGAGCTCACCAGCTGAACTTTCCCCTCCTGTTCTCTGCTGCATTTTATACCTAATGCTTCCAGGTCTTTAAAAGAAAAGCTGATAGTGTCCAGACTTGGTTTAAAATCTGATAAAAATGAGGGTTTTATCACTATAATGTATCAAAATAGCAAACTTAGAGTAGTCTGGTACTTTCTGTAGTACTCTTTGTCGTATTCCCTGTAGTAAGTACCACAGTGCTCACAGAATTTTAATATATTTTAATGATAACCTCATTTTCACAGGATGTTAAAACAAGCCTAGACAAAATTTTTCTCATTAATTTGCATGTTTCTAGCTTAATTTATAAATCCTTTGTGCTTCCCGTAGTAAATAGATACTGGAGTACTCCCAACTTTCTACTCTAGTAAATTTAATTGTATTTTTCAAGTGCTTGCAGTGAAGTTGGGAGCAGAGAGATGAACAGGCAAAGGTTTCTCTGCCCAGTTTCTATTTTTGGGGTGTATTTATTGTTCCTGTGATTGTAGCTGAGAAATCCTTCCCTGGAAATCCCAACAGCTGGGACAGAGTGTGGGAGTGGGTCTCAGGGATTGGGAAGTGTGAATGGGAATTACCTGGGATGAGTTGTGGGAGGGATGGAAGCTGATCCCAAAATCTGGGATGGGTCCCACGGGGATGGATGGATCCCTTAGGGATGGTTCAGGGATGGATCTTGCAGGGATGAATGGGTCGGTCCCGCAGGGATGGATGGATCCTGCAGGGATACGTCAGGGATGGAACCAGTAGGGATGGATGGATCCTGCAGGGATGGATGGATCCTGCAGGGATGGATGGATCCCTCAGGGATGGATGGATCCCTCAGGGATGGATCCCGCAGGGATGGGTTAGGGATGGATCCTACAGGGATGGATGGATGGATCAGATCCTGCAGAGATGGATGGATCAGATCCCATAGGGATGGATGGATCAGATCCCGCAGGGATGGATGGGTTAGGGATGGATCCCGCAGGGATGGATGGATCAGATCCCGCAGGGATGGATGGATGGATCCCTCAGGGATGGATCCTACAGGGATGGATGGATGGATCAGATCCTGCAGAGATGGATGGATCAGATCCCATAGGGATGGATGGATGGATCCCTCAGGGATGGATCCTGCAGGGATGGATGGATGGATCAGATCCCGCAGGGATGGATGGATCAGATCCTGCAGAGATGGATGGATCAGATCCCTCAGGGATGGATCCCGCAGGGATGGATGGATGGATCGGATCCCGCAGGGATGGATGGGTTAGGGATGGATCCCGCAGGGATGGATGGATGGATGGATCGGATCCCGCAGGGTCGCTCCGCTCGGAGCATCCTCGGGCTCGGCGTCCGCGGCTCCGGCGCTGTTGAGTGAGGCGGTGCCTCCCTCTAACGGCAGCGGAGCCCGGCCGGGAAACGGGATCAGCAGCGGCTGGAGATCCCGGGGAATGTCCCAGGAAATATCCCAGGAAATATCCCGGGATAGCCCCGCTCGGGCCTGGCAGGGGCGGGAGGGGCTCATCCCCTCGGGATTGTGCCCGGCTTTGGGAGATCTCGCCTCTGGAGAGGGGCTCCAGGGAGGGTCTCAATGGGGATCCCTAGGGGGGATTTTCGAGGGGGTTCTCCAGGGAATCTCTGCAGGGAATCTCTGCAGGGAATGTCTCCAGGGAATGTCTCCAGGGAATGTCTCCAGGGAATGTCTCCAGGCAGCTCGCACTGTCTGGAGTTCAGCACTCGGGCAGGGAAGGCCGTCAGGGCTCCGGGATCCCACAGGATCAGGGCCAGCACGGCTGCTCCGCTCCGGATCCAAACAGAGGATTCGAGAGCAGAGCCCCAGGGCTGGTGAGGCCCGGAGGTGACACAGCCACAGTCAGTCCCCCCTGTCCTGCTGCATTTTCCTCCTTTTCCCACAGCTTAGAGCAGACTCCAGGATCTCCCACAGCCACGGAGGGTTTTGTGTCATCCGCTGCAAATTACCCAGGCAAAACTTCATTTTTCTTTAATTTGGTCAGCTTGTGCAGCTTGAGTAAAACTGGGATCAATTAAAAACCATGGGATGTGTGAAAACCCAGTTCTGGTGGAAAACACACAGCTCTGTAAGGCAGCTGGATAAAAATATCACTTCCAATAACCCCAAATAAAATGGGATCAAAGGGGAAGTATTTTCTGCTGTAGTTGTTTGTTTAGTCTGGGATCTGGGGGTGTTTCCTTCTTTTAATCCTCAGCTCAAAAGAGCAAGAAAAAATAGCAGCTCTTTTCTGTATTTCAAAGCTTTTTATGTAAAATGTGTTATTTTTTTAAATTAAATTAACCCCTTAAATCTAATTAGTAAAATAGGAAGAAACAGATTCTGAGGAATGTTTGAGGTTTTTTGTCTTTGCTTTGATTCTGGAGTTAGACCTGCTTGAAAAAATCTCTTTAAGTTCATGTTCATGGTCAGGATTATGGATAAGCAATGAATCCATAAAAATTTACACTCAGAGATTAGCAAAAAAATATTTAAAACATGTTTTTGTTTAATGGATCTTTCACAAGATATTATTGGTCATTTAATGCTTCTATTTCAGTGATTTTAAAACTCTTAGTGGAATAAATTTTGTCTTTAAGGAAAAAATGGGAATATTTTAGGCAGAGCTCACGGAAGTTTTCCTTTCACCTGATTTGTAGAATCATAGAATTCCCTGTTTCTTTTAATTTTACCTGATTCTCTGCTGTTTCTGATTATTGTGAGTGTAGTGTTTTGGGGTGGCATTGAGAGAATTCCAGCCCATTTTAGTTCTCAAGTGGCATTCCAGCCCAATTCCATAGGAATTTACAGCTGTAAAGCTGGGTGTGTGTATTTATACATGGGAGGAGGGCAATAGGTGGAAATAGAGAATTGTAAAATACTGAATTATCCCTGAAGGATGATGATGTTCCCAGCTAAACTGGGAAGGCTCCCCCTGCCAAGGTGACAGGGCTGGAAATTGTGCCTGCTGCTGGAATCACCTTTTTATTAAAAACCAGCCCTAATCCAAGATTTAGTTCCTTTATTTCCCCCCTAACAGGGTGAAAAGACTCACGGTGCACTGAGTTAGTATTGATTTTTTTTTGTCTGAAGCCTGGGAGCTTTCTGACTCCATTATTTTTGATTTTCCTATGAAATACATATCCTTGCCCCTGACAGCTGACAAACAACAGCTGGAAGTCGTTTTATCTCCCCATAATGTGTTTGTCAAAACTCCCGTGCGCTAATGGGCTCTGCTTCCTCCAGTCCATTTTCCCCCGTTAATGTCACTGATGTCATTGGCAGCTTTTAGTGATTTTTGCCCCTTCCCTAATTTGTCATTCCCATCACTTTGTGCAGGATCTGGGTGGGATCCTGGAGCTGCCTGGGATTTGGTGAAGCTGGAGATGAGCTGTGGATTTGAAATCTTCTTGTTCTGTCTTTCTATGCCTGGCTTTAATCAGGATCCTTTATTTACCCTCAGACCAGGTGTATCCAAAACCTCAGTGAATTCTGATTTCCCCCTCCTTTGGGTTATCCCAAAAATCCTTGGGAATCTTTTTTTGGTTTTAAAGGAGAAGGTTTCAGCACCAAGGCAGCAGGACTTGCAAGCACAAGTTTAAATGTAGCAAATTCTTTGTTTTCCTTCCAAATCCGCAAAAAAATCAGGCTTGAAGTTGTACTTATGGATTTTGCTGTAGCGCAGCTCCTGTCAATGTAGAATTGTGGGATGGTTTGGGTTGGAAGGACCTTAAATCCCATCCAGAGAGGGGGCAGGGACACCTCCCACTGCCCCAGGTGCTCCAAGCTCACCCAGCCTGGCCTTGGGCACTGCCAGGGATGCAGGGGCAGCCCCAGCTGCTCTGGGAATCCCATCCCAGCCAGGAATTCCCAATTCCCAATCTCCCACCCATCCCAATGGGAGCCATTCCCTGTGTGCTGTCCCTCCATCCCTGTCCCCAGCCCCTCTCAGCTCTCCTGGAGCCCCTGCAGGCCCTGAGCTCTCCCTGGATCCTTCTCCTCCCCATTTATCCCACAAACCCTCAGGTCAGCATTTGGGATGTTCCCAACCTCACTGCTGCTATTTTCACTCAGAGCTTTCCCTTGTCACAGAAGATTTTGGGCTGCACTACACCAGCAGTTTGTCCTGGTGTGTCCCAAAATCTCCTCCAGGGACAAGGCCTGGCTCCCAGGATGTCACCAATCCCATAAATCCCATAAATCCCACAAATCCCACCTTCCTGTGCAGACCAAGCCACCCTCCTGGACCAGGTGAAGCGAGTGAAGGAGATCGAAGCCATCGAGAGCGACGCCTTCGTCCCACAGACCTTCAGGTCCAGCAAAGAGGTCAAAAAGGTACATTTTCCTTCCAAAAGGTACATTTTCCTTCCAAAAGGGGCATTTTCCTTCCAAAAGGGACATTTTCAGTCCCTTTCTTGCTGCATGATCCTCTCAGAGCCAGGAGGAAGCTGCACTATTAAGATTTTCCATCGATGAAGGAGCATCAATGTTGAGAACCTTAAATGCACCTGAAATCCCACCAAGGACTCCCTGGTGGTCTCAGGGTGGGTTCATGAGTTTAAATGTGGCAGAATTTAAGGAAATCACCTGGTTTGAAGACTTCTGTTAGGAGAAGCAAAATTCAAATCTCAAAGTAATCACATTTACTTTGTAATTAAAGTGGAGATGATTTAATGGTGCTTAACTAAAGCCAGACTTTATTCCCTGAAAAGAAGCAGCTTGGTTTTCAATCAGCTTTCCAGAAACCCAACAGGAGACATGCAGATCCCAGAATTTACCTGAATTTTGGCCAGCAGGTGTTGCAGGGAACTGCTGTGGGATGTGTTCATTCTCCCACTGGCAGTGAGTGTTTGGAGTTATCCCTGGTTGCTTCCCCAGAAATGTGCAATTTGTTTTTTCTAGAAATCTCCAAGAATCTGGTGCAGCTTCTTCAGGAAGTGATGCAGAATCCCAGTGGTGCAGTTTTCCCAGCTCTCTGCCCACACCTTGGTTTTGTCACTTGGTGTCCTTGCCCAGTGTGTCCCACTGAGGATCCATGAGGATCCTTTCAGGGAA